TCCCACAAAGAGATACGATACAGCCCGAACAATATATTCGAAATTAATATGGACCGACGCGGTCACTTTGCTCGGCGGAATATTTAATCGCCCGTAAAAATCGAGGGCATCGCCTGCTTCGAATGACTTGTCATTTGTTTCAGAATTCAGGAATTCGCGCTCGGAAATTTTATTGTCTTATATTTCGTTTTATGTAATAATATAATATCTTTTTTAAGTATATGCAACACAACATATACATGTATGTAATTATAAATAACATTTGATTCTGAAATTAACGCGAATTAGAAATCGTCCAAAGTGAAAACACTTGAAAAGCTTTCTGTCTTTTTCTAGTTTTTGAACTCTCCCAATTAGACAGAGAGAGAGAGAGATTAGAAAATTTAATGAAAGATTTGTCAATCTCTTAGAATCTATATATCGGATTATGTTTCAAAATGGATTTATATATTTGATGAGAATATTAGATTAGGGATTTCGATAAAGTAATTTTCAAAATCTGAAAGTAGTATATCCGCAGAAAATTAAAATTAATCCCAAATTTGGAAATTGAAAATTTTATTTTGCAAATAGATAATTTTCTTTGAGTTTTTTTAATTAGACGTTGATGCGATTAAAAAGTCAATTCTGAAAAATAATTGTACTGGATATTTTTTTAGAAAAAAAATTGTCATTATTCTACTCTGTTTTTTATTCATGTAATCTCTGAATTGTAGTGTGTTTTAAATAATTTCCGAAAAACCACATATATTGTTTTTGCAACGAAAAATTAGAATTGAAAAGGAAATTTCCCAAATACTATGCACGTTAAGATAACAGTTTATTGAGAAACTTGAAGGTTTCTTCATTGATTCAGCTTTTCTGATGATAGATAAACATGATGCAAGAGGAACAATATGCTAAAAATGAATTTTTTTCAGTACATCCTTTTAAGAACTGATACGTACCTAATAAGGTAATAATTTATTTTAATGTATTACCCAGATAACACGCAATATCTAAAAGATATCTTTATGTTATCCTTTACAGATATCTTTTAGACACATATATTCCAAAAGACGTTTTTAGAATGCTTTATGATATATTTTTTAGACATGCAAGCGTTGTTAAGGTATATCTGTTTATACAGGATGCTTCAAAATTCGCGCCCGTGAAGTACAAAACGTGATACTTTATGCTAAAAGAAACAGTTTATTCCTTTTGCAAGATTGCGTTTAACAAGTAGTTTTTGCAGGAGAGCAGGTTGAAGTTGTACTAGTATACGCAAAAATTATTTATCAAATGTAATTTTACTACAAGAAAAAGTTGTTCGTTTTAGCACAAAAAGCAATTTTTCGTTTTAGCAAAATTGCGTTCGGTAAGTAGTTTTTGCAGGTTGAAGTCAATAAATAAGCGCAAAAATTATTTATCGGATGCAATTTCGTTAAAGGAAAATGTTGTTTGTTTTAGTATAAAGTATCACATTTTATACTTCGCAGGCGCGAATTTTGGAACACCCTGTATATCAGTAATCCTATCATATATTTATCTTATCTGTGTCCTTTCATATGCTTCTACAGGAATGCCAGGAATGTACAATCCGATAAAAATATCACTTTTCGAAGAAACTGGAACCTCGTGATTAATTGCATAACTCTCCCGTACGGAAAGGTGAAGTGTATATCCTGCCGAAATCGTATGAATAACCTTTTTGTACTATTTAACAATGCATAAAATTATAATACTTAAGTTCACATAGGGTCGAAGGATAAAAATTAAAAATTGGAAAGTTTTGTCTAATACTATACGTTTCATCTTATTTCATATCTCAAACTTTTCAAATACGTTATGCCTACAAATTAATCTTTATATCTTATTTATCTGTGATGTTAATAACAGTTTGCTCTACGTTGAAGATATTAATTATACGCGTAGAAAAATCTTTTACGTAAGAGAGAAAAAAAGTGTACATTCTATATTGCAGTGAATGAAACAAGCAATTTAAGGGGATCCTAAAGACATCTGTAAATAACGCTTAATTTTTATATAACAATTACTTTTTCCTTTTTTACAGATTCGAAAATCATTTTCCAAGATTAAAATATATACATTAATACGAGTCTGTGAGGTGGAGTTTATATCGAGAACGATAAAAAATTTTGATTGAGATTTTCATTTCTTAGTCCAATGTTACGCTTTACACGTCGCGACAACATTTGTTTAATATATAAAAATTATGCAATTTATATTTACGAAATAGTATAGTCCACAGACTGATAATTTGCACGAAGGAACAACGTGGAGTTCTTAGAATTGGACTTAGACGTAACACTAACGTTTTACAAAAATTTATCATCCCAAAAAATATTCATTATTAGTGGCTTGTGTCCAATCAAACCGTATCCAATCAGATACCACTTATATCAATACACGTATGTGTGTAAGTTACTAATTAAATACTTAATCGGTAAAATAATCATTTTTAGATCCTTTTAATAATTAAATTAAAATAAATGAAGCTCACTTTTGACGATCTATGTAATAAATTCGTTTCAAAATTCAGAATGGAATTTTATTTATAATTTCATGTTCCACATAACACAAGAATCGCATTTGAAGAATCAAAATACCGATGTGTATGAAATATTTATTAATAACACGATAGAATTCTATTTATGATTTTATATGTACACGAAATCTGACGTGGATTTTAGGTATCTTAAAATTGAGAATTAAGATCTCGTAATCTTCATTGAAGACGATATGAATATATCGAATTTATTTCGACAAGATAACTATAAGTTCGAGGATTTGAATAGATGCCGAGAAAGCTGGCAAAAGTTAACGGTATATCGATATTTTTATTCACGCCGCTCATATCGCCTTCATTTGATATTTGCGGCTTGAATTCACTTTCACCACCGGCAGCCACTAATCTTTGCTCCGCCGTTCCTTTTACACCTTACGGGATACACCACATGTGTGTATACGATCTATCAGATAATTATGTTTATATAATTACATCGATCATATCTTAAAATAATTGGTAGTTTTAGGCAGCCGGTATATCATAATCTAATTTTACAAATACCATCTCGTACGACTGTACAGTCTTTTCATTGGCAAGATCACTTAAGACCAGATTTAAGACGATCTTGAATATAAATTCAAACTATGAATTACCACTCTTAGCCTACAGCTATACTTTGATTTAACGTGATAGCTATTTGTAGAAGGAATGTCAATAATAAATGTAACATTTTCGAAAAGACGTCCCACAAAAGCCACGTAATATCATCGTTTTATTAGCAATTTTATACATTTAATTTAAAATTTTTTAAATTTAATTTTTAAATTACTTGACGCCTCTTACGATCGATCATATTTTATTGGTGTTAGTGAAGAACACAATCTGTAATCTGAAGATGTTAGTTATCCACGTAGAAACATTTTTTACAACTTCGCAAGCCGCCATCGCGTCCTCTAGTCCTGGTCCACGATACCACCTCGTTAAAGAGTCGAGTTATCGGCGACCAGTCCTGGTTGCCAATACTAACCGCCTACTCGTTCGTCAGGGGCGGTCCTACCTCTATGATACAGGAACGTGCAAATAATGAGCCGAAGACTCTAGTATGTTTGAAAAATTAAAATAAACCGGTATTTTTTTTTATATAATTATGATAGTTTATAATACACGAATATATTAAACATAAAAATGTTCGTATATACATACATATATGTTTGTACAAGTGTATGTGTATGTATATGTATGTATACAGGATGTCCTAACCATCTATACGCCATTTTTAAAAGCGGAGTGATTTTTATGACAAATTCCAAAAATTTTGACAAGTAAATTAAACAATTGCTGTATCGAATCGAGATATTTCCAACTTCAGGTTTCGATCAGAAATGGACTATCCAGACTAGATATTAAATCTTGTAAATGTATCATGTACTTTTTATTGCAAATTCAGATTACGTGTAAAAAATAAGAAATTTTTAGCTCAGACAAAAATTTTGTCTGAAAATGTTTTCATTGATCTTCAAAAGATTTAGAAAGTAAATAATGAAAAAAGAAACTTTAGGACCCAACTAATATATAATAAAAACCATGTAATTACCATATTTAATGTAATATGATTTTTGGAATTTTTCATTTTCTTGAAGTGTCAAGTTAAAACGTTTACTGCTTTTTTTACGTTTTGCTCCAATCTATGCTGTTTAGAACGTTTCCTTCACTCTCCTTTTATATTCGACTCATGCTCCTTTTTGTCTTACTCTTTATTTTCATCAGGGAATTAAAAATTATATTAGAAGATGTACTTAATTTTTAAATAACGAAAAATTAAATTAAGAAAAAAGAAAGAGAAAGACAGAAAGAAAGGAAGGGAAAGATTATAAAAAGAATTCAACTCTCAAGAATTAATATCAGCGACTTTTTTATTTTACTAAATTTTAACACGATTTAAGATGGCAGACAAAAAATTTAAGCAGTAAAACGTAAGTAATAAGCAAATCATTACAGTAGAGACCGTAAGATCATAACGTATAATAAGCAACAACTATTTTAATATATGTTGATTTCCTTATTGCTTAAGTTTTGTATGTGCCATGGTTCTTATTCATATATTCCCTTTTTAATTTGTTATTATTTTTATAATGTTGATTTTTCGTAGTTATAATTATTTTCATTTTTATATTTCTGTTAACATTATTATAATATATTAATATTAAAAAAAATTACAGAATTTGTTAAACAACTTCCATTCAATCTTGCAGTGTAACCTTCGTAAAATTGTCGCAGCAATATTATATAATAAGGCAACAATAAAACTTTATTTACATACGAATAATAAGCGAAGAGGGAAAAGAGAGAAAAAGTCGACGGATCAACCCTCGGGGCGAAGGGACCGAGTGGGCCTCAATACGGACCTGGGAGGCGGTGAGCTCGCTAGAGAGACGACTCGGGACGACGACTGGCATGGGCCAGACAAACAGACTGGCACTGGCATCGCGAGAGTCGCCAGACTCGCCAGGAGTCATCCGCGGTGACCCACGATCACTTACGATCCATCGACGACGGATATTCAAGCTGGTTCCCCGACTTTACGACAAACGTTGACAATCAGCAAGATTGTACGAATATCAATTCTGGAGCTTCTCATTTGGACGAGCACGATCGTTCCTCATCACGTCAACGATTGGCAATCAACTGAATCAACCCTGGAATTTGTCAGTTCTGCTGGATTCGTGCTCCTGCGGCGATAGAATGTCTCGGAGTATAAAGTAAAGTTCTCATAAAGTGTCCGACAAAAATAGCTGAAATAAAAACATTCAAGTTAAGTGATCACCGTTTTCTTCTCTTACATTTATATTATTGTTATTACTTTTAGAGATTCTCGGATTAACGCTTTCGAATTTTTAGTACAGATAGTTGTAGCGCTAATGTCATGCTTTACGTCGCGAAAACGTTGAAGAGCAACCGATAATTCGAAATTTTAGTAGATCTGAAAACTGTGTATCAGTAATTGTGTGATTTGCAACGTAAACTTTATTTTGGGGAAAAAAGCGATGATATCGTAAGAGTGTGATTGACGGAAACGCGCAGCGTATCGTCAGGGAAAACGCGATGCACAGCAAATTTCCTGCTTTCCTCATCGAAGTTCAATCCCGGCGCAATCGCAGTGACGTAGAATCTCTGGCACGCACTGACAGCGAGGGACGATCGGGACCAGTGAGATTTTCACGGTACCAACAGTGGACGATACAGCGGAGTGAGTCGTAACACGAGGTCAGCAAGCCGTTAAGGACATTCGAGGACGAAGAGCGTTACCTGCAGCGTGTGGGTTCGCGCGCGCGCGCACACGCGATGTCCATTCCTGACAACGAAACCGCAACGCGCGCAATCGCTCTGCCGGGAGCGTCGTTGATCCAGATCACCATTCACCAGGATCCGCATCGATCAAGATCACCGTTATTCGGGAATCTCAACCGTCGCGTCGGCTCGCGATGGGATCGTTGAGAGTCCCTAGTTTCTCATAGTTGCTTAGACCGTGAAACTCTTGAATTAAACTCGAATACTTTCAGCTCGGTGACCTTTGAACTGTTTGCTCGTGGTGCTCGAAAATATTTGAACAGTTCCGGAACTTTCGTGCTGTTGCTGAAGCTACGAAGAGAAGCGCGCGCTTAGCGTTGGATAATCGCGGGAATTGAATGCGACGAGAGAAAAGTGGAAGAGCTTACTTTCTTTCGTAGGTAAATTCGAGGAGAAAGAAAGAGGGAAGAATTTTGCTGGGAGAAAGAGGGACGAGGAAAAGAAAAGTCCAGGAGGAGGATAAGGAATCGAAAAGGAAAGCAGAAAGGATTACGATTTAAAGACACTGACTCCTCCTTGACATCATCATGTCAGCTCAACCTTTTTCTATCCTGCTGATCCTCGCAGCGATCCTCGGCGATTTGACGATCGGTAGCGCCGAGAGGATAAGCGGTTTATACGTGGACAACGGCTTCGATCAGACGGTGGTTCATCGTGTGGTCAGCCAGCGTGAGAAACGCGAGGTGGAGCACGAGATCCTGAATCTGCTGGGACTCCCGGATCGTCCACGGAACACCATCGGTAGGACCCCCCAAGTGAAGAGGTCAGCGCCCAAGTTTCTACTGGATATCTACAAGAACGCCCTTGGCGAGGACGAAGAGGAAAAGCCCGTGGCACGTAGTCACAAAGCCGGGGAGTTCGACCTCAGCGGGCAGGATTTGAGAGCGATCGATCAGAGCGATGTTATCATGACTTTCGCGGCTCACAGTAAGTTTGAATTTCTCAAATCGTTTGACAGGTGCTTACTAAAGAATGAAGGTAACACGCTAAACTTAAATAATTTTGATTGGTCAATTCCATTGCATTACTTTTCCGAGATTCTGTTTTCCGAAGTTCCAACTGTAATAAGGACTCTAACGAAATTGATAGATTTACCGATCAATTGGAAACCGATATCTTCGTAACTGGAATGCCGAAGGATTAATTATTTATTAATTATATTTGTGTATTTATTTTTGTGTATATATTTATATATTTTATGTTATATCCTATGTATGTGTGTGTATGTTGTTTTGTTACATAATTATGTTATGTATATATCTTATCTCTCTTATTCCTATATATGTGTATTTATTATATAATTATATATTCACGATTTTTATGCAAATTAAGTTTCGGAAACATGCGAGCAGGGAATGATTACTTAATTCTATAAATAAATTTTTATGTTGTTTTTATTCCTACTTTTGAAGTTTAAATTATATCTGCGTACTTTGAACTTTATACGCACACACACATTTTACGTTAAATATTAACATATTGAAAAAGAAGAGTTTTTATCAAGATAACTGGCGTTAAATCGATAATAACTAATCGAAAAATCGATTAATTGAAAACTTTTTGATAGACACGTTTGGCTCAAAATAAATATCTTCACGTTTACTCGCCATCATTTGTTATTCACATCAGGATGTCAAGAGCAAGCGTATATGTGAAGTTAACCAATTCAACGTTAAAACTTTATAGTTCTGATTAGAGTTCCCGGTTCATTTTGAAGAGACAAAGGCCGGTATTCATAGTTGATTCTTATTTTAAGACTGTCTTAATTAAGATGTTAATGCAGCTCTCTGATCAGTTCATGACATCTTGAGAATGTACTTAATACGATTCTAAATAGTCAGATAAGATCCGACTATGAATATCGTCCAAAGAGTTCTTTATTAAAAATTCCGGTTAATAACAATTTTTAATTTAAATTAAAAAATGAGATACTAAACTCTTTATCGATATTCGGGATAATCTTGAGTGGCTTAATAGCTTTATTTTGTAAATCTCTAGAGTTCCTGGTATATAAAAAGAAATCCGACAATAAAAACTTTTTTTTGAAAAATTAATTTTTAGATATAATAGCTCCTGGATATTTTAATTATTATTTTATCTATTTCTATAAGAGTTTTCAACGATTAAAAAAATATAGACCCAAAAATAAAAAAGCTCTGGACTTAAATTAAATTTCAGAAACAGGTAGTAAAAACATCAGGTATCTATTTATATAGCCATTCAACCGCATTGAGCCATTAAGATTCTTTTGTTAGAATTCATGAAAACTACCCAGAATTCCAATCAGAATTACTCGGAATTCTCAAAAAATTTTTTACTTCAGACTTAGAAAATTTTCAACTATCGTTTAAATCGGGTATCTTACAAACCATTGGTCCAATCATCTTGAGCCATAAGACTTTATCAGAGCTCATTGAGAACTGTCCAGAATGCCTATCAGAACTAACTCTAACAAAATTTTCGAACTAATGATTTGCAAAAGATACTCGATATGTAAACGGTGATTGAAAATTTTTTGAGAGTTCTGAGTAGTTCTGATTGAAGTTTTGGATAATTCTCGACGAGTTTTGACGAAAAATCTTATATACCTCAAAGTTATTAGATTAGATTAACAGTTTGAGAGAAATGTTTGAATAGTGATAAAAAATTTTCTAAATCCGAGATTGAACAATTTTTGAGAATTCCGAGTAGTTCTACAGTTGGATGGCTATACATAAAGAAATATCTGTTTTTATTACCAATTTTTAAAATTTATTTGTCCTAAATTCAGATCTCTTTTATTTTTGGATCTATATTCTTTTTAATCATTGAAAATTCGAAATAGGTAAAATAATAATTGACAAATTACAGAGCTTTGTTTCTAAAAATTAATTTTTTTAAATTTTATTTTTTTCGGAATTTTTTTTTACGTGTGTATCAGGAATTCTAGATATTCATTAAGATTATTAAATCGTTCAGAACTACTCGAGCTTGAATTTTATGATTATTTATGTGGACATTTCAGTTTGATTTATATCCATTTCTATCAATATGAAATAACTTTAATTTCATTTTAATTAATTTCATTGCCATTTATCTTTTTCTAATTCTTAAAATTAGAAAAAGATAAGAAATAAATTAAACTGGAATTAAAAGCTATCTACGTTGATAAAAATGATGAATGTTAGTAATGCATAAAGAAGATCTCTTAAACGTCCTGTCCCTTAGCCAAACTCTAAAACACAAGATACTTCTTTGTCTCGAATTCCTCATGCCAAGTAGTCCTAAGAAATTTTCCAATTCTCTAACAAGGAAGATTAAAGCATAAGAATACTTTATCTTCTCTAGCACGTTCCTGAGGTGTGAAGTCACGACAAGGAATGTGAGGCGCACGTAACGAATTCTCGAAAATCTCAGTATGCGAACTCGACACGATAGTGTTGTTGTTTCGCGACTCTGCAGTTTAAGTACAAAAAAAAATTGCCACAAACCCGATGAGGAATCTAAGAATCTCTATTCTTCCCTTTTTCTTCTTTGCTCATCAGATTCCCCGGAAACCCGTTACTGCTTCCCCCTCCCCCCTCTCTCTTTCGTTCTCTCTGCGTGTTCGTATGTCCGGTTTTCTATTTTGCTGTCGTCCTCGCGTCGAGGGAACAGTGAGGAATGTTCTAGGCTGTTCGACGCGAAATGCGACGTGCATATAAATCGGTAGTTATACCTACAAGCAACATCTGCTGTGCGAGATAATGACAATGTGAAATAAAGACAAGGATATGGCGTATATGTAGGAATAGAAGAACGGAAATGGAGAATCGGAATCAGAAAAACAAGGACAGAAAAAATTGATTCAGAGCGCATCAATCGCCAGGAGTTGCACACACGAATGCGAACCCGGTCTCATGGGCTATACGTCTTATACACAAAGTCTCTCCTCTCTTTTTCTATCTCCTTTCTACCGGCCATGTTGCATGGGATACCCCCCTGGGAAAGACGAGTCAATAAGCATCTCTCTTTCCTCGTGGCGCGAAGCCACGGGCAGGTTAAAATGTCTCAACTTGAAGGCCCGGGCTCGTCCTCCTCCGGCCCTTTGCTCTTTTTTTCCACTCCGTTCCTTCCTCACGCGGACAGCGTAACGGCCGGTTACCCGGAGGGAGACGCGCGGCTACGAATTACGAAGATTAGGATGCTGAATCCTGCGGAGATGGATGGATCCGCAGCGGAACTGAATGTAACGGATCTGTGCGACCGGGGGGATTTCTTTAGCATGATGTCGATGCCCGTCTGAACTATCCATTCATTCGTAATATACCAATGTGTATCTCTCCTTCTCAATTCCTCTCTCTCTTCGTTTTAGCTCTCGACTATAGAGATAAGACATTGAGTCTTTTTATCATGTCTAATCTGATTGCTGGACAAATGATAGCGTAAAACCCAAGGGGGTAACCACTTAATGTAATCGTGGGACAGAGTTCTCGGTCATTATCAAATTCATATGAAATCTATGTATAATCCGATTGTATAATATTAAATAAAATTGTATATTTTACCGAATGACTTCATATGTATTAAAAAAAATTATTTGTGATCAGATAAATATTTCAGTGGTTACCCCCTCGGTAAAACCGCTCTTAGTTAGAGAGAGAGAGAGAGAGAGAGAGATATGTTTGTAAGCAAAAAGTAGATTTTGAACAATTAATCCCAGATAGCACATTATATTCTGAGAATATACTAAAAAGGTCACGTCTGATATTCGTATGATATTCCTATGTCCGCAGCGACATTGCTCGCAGTATATCCTCAGAATATCGAGATGAATTTCGAAAATTTTCTTTAAGAGTGTGTAAGAAATATCTATTAAAAATAATGTTCTTTGCTAATAGAATATTATTTTTAATAGATATTTCTTACGCACACTTTTAGGAAAAATTTTTGAAATTCATCTCGATATTCCGAGGATATACTGCGAACAATGTCGCTGCGGACATAGGAATATCATACGAATATCAGACGTGACCTTTTTAGTATATTCTCAGAATATTCTCAGAATATAATGTGCTATCTGAGATGCAATTAAAAGAATAAGACATAAAAATTATAAATATCTAATAATTTTGTTTGTTGCAATATTAATAAAAGTTTGTACATATCTTGATAACTGAGCCTAATTGACATATAATGTACATGAACTTTTTGTTTAAAATGAATTCTAGAATATATTCAAGAAGTTCGTGACGCGGAAATCTATGTATTTTTTATCATAGATTCTATTCAAAATATATAACCACAATATCGCTCGCTGTGTCTCAAGAATTAAGAAAACACGCGGTAAACTTATCTCTTTTTTTTTCACCATACCATAGGTGTACTGACAAGCGCATACATACGCCTTTAAGAAAGACGCGAAGGGGGAGGCGATGGGAAGGAAGAGCGCGGCGGTGGCGGCAACGGCGGCGTAAAAAACAAAAACGCGGCTCGCCACAGAACGCTCCATGGACGGTCCCAAAAGCTATTTGGGACCACCCCGAGAGCTGAGGAGGCCCGGCAATCTGGTACCGTTGGAATGCGACCGTCGGAACGAAAAAACAAAACAAATTTTTATGTCCCCCTTCGCCCCTCCCCTCGCCTCACGTCCCTGTTCGGATCCAAGCCGCCCACTTCAGTGGAGGCATTAGGCATTACTTAGAGCCCCCCCGAGTCTACCGCTCTTTCTTTGCTCGCAGGCCGGCGACCACTTTGACGGTAAGAAAGAGCTCGATTTCACGCTGCGAATTGTCCACGGATCATTTCTAAAGACCTCCTTGGGGGACTCACAAGTAGGCTCACCAAAGATACCTTACCTCGACTTGGACTCTCGTAGAAATTTCGTTTTGCGATAACGAAATGTTATCTCCCCATTGAAAAAAAGGACTAATTGGTATTCCATCGTAGACGTTCCTGTGGTTTGACTGAGCTCTGAGTCATCAGTTTCAAAGTTTGCATCGATAACCTAAGCTGATCCTTTACACACTTGTTTCTAAAGTAGACTATTCGGTAGAAATGTTCCTCCAGTAAAGATGGAGAAACAATTTCTCAAGATATATATCAAGAACCTTTAAACCTGGAAACTATATTCTTCTTGAAATTTTATACTATTATAATCGAATTATTTTCAGAGCATTATTTTTTTTCTAGCTATTTAAGAACATGGTATTATCAGATATATTTCGGTACATAGTTTTATGATTTTCCAAATTTATCTTCTAGTTTCGATATCTTCGTTTGATAAATAATATTCTTAAAATTGAACGTGAATATACATAAAATACACACAACGTGATCCATAAATTTTTAACTAAAAATTATATAAGAAACAGAAGACCTCTAGAAAAATATTTTCAACATTTTTTATTTATAATAAAATCTTTTACAATCAATATACAATCAATTACTTTGTTCTTGTTTTCAATCTTTGCAATGCCATTGAATATTCTTTTTCATGTAATCGTCTTCAGTTGACCGATTGCAGTTGTTACATCGACTTTAATTTCTAAAATATCAAATTCTTTCAATTACAGTTTCAATTTCGAAAGCAAGAAATATTAGAGAGCGTTAGATAAATGGGATAATGAATGATGTAAGGTTATAACAATTCTTTAAATCATTCGACATTTCAAAAATTTAAGCTACCCCGTGACCGACCAACTGAAGATTAATTACAAAAGATGGGTATTTAATGTATCAAATGGAAAAATTGAAACGAGAGCAAAACGATGCATTTATTGAAAAGAATTCCCTTTTGAATAAAAAAAAATATTTTTCTGACGAGTTCTTTATTTTACATGATTTTTATCTCAAAATTTATGGACCGTGCTGTGTATGATTGTTGTTGCGTGATTATAAGCGGCCATTCTGAATAATGCCTGACTGATCGCAGACTTGTAATTTAAAATAGATCATCACGTCCCTGGGGTGAGACACGAACGTGGGAAGAGGCTCTGGTTCGATGTGTCCGAAGTACCACCTGAAGAATACATAATTGGCGCTGAGCTTAGGTTGTATCATAGTGCACACACGAAGATTCAGAAGAGTCATGGTTCCCACACAATCACGGCGTACCGAGTATTGAACACTAAAGAAGGGTAAGAAGAATTATCCATTTTTTTCCCATGTTTCTAAACGCGTTAAATTCTATATTTCTATATTTCTAGACGCGTATCACGTAAAGTAGATGGATTTAGGAGAATTAAAAAATTGTCAGACAAGAATCTAGAGATTAGGCTGGAATTTCGGGAAGCTTAATGAATGTTAAAGCACATCTTCGTGCTGCAATAATAAAGTCGAAACGAAAAATAATACTCGCTATTCGTCGGCTTTTGTGCCAAGGACGCCTAGGTTAGACCAATTTCATGTTCCTCCAGGCATCCTTCGCAGTTTTTGACATCGTCATCGTATCCCTAATTAGGAGGTCCTTAATCCTTCGCCGAAAAAGTCTCAGGCATTTGTTCTACCTGAAACGCAGAGAGAAAAACTTTGAATATTTCGCCGAACCTTCTTTTTCGTATACCTTCGACTTCTCCGTTTTCTTTATTTCGTATTTATATTATTACATCCACATGTATTCAGAGGACAAGAGACATTTTAGCTCTTTCTTTTTTAGAAAAGTGTATTTATCCTGCTTTGGCAGCATAGGAAACAACGTGCAGAGTGGATAATCAGAAATATATTACGATACACATGTAATCATTAGCCATAGGACCACCGGCGGGGGCCATCCCGTCCGGGTAGGAACTGAATCGTAAAAAGGAAAGCGTGGTGAGTTAATCTAAGAGGGTAAACCTCCACGCCTGCGGTAAATGTCGACGGTCTGTCTAGAGACGCTCTATCTAATGGACATGCCGCTCCGTCCTACAAATTGTGAGTCACGAGACGCCCCGTCGCCGCTAATAGCCGTCGTAACTGTGCCTTTAAGTACACTTTTGAGCGCCCATTCTGTCAATTCTGAAAAGAATTTCCCGTTTTCACGGATCGTCATCTACTTACTATCTAGAATTCCCGATACCAGAATCGCGAATCCCTAATTGTCTTCCAAGTTTGATGTACCTATGAAATAACGAGCTTACGATCGAAAATTTCTTAAACTTCAATCAGTGATTTTTTCGGAAAGAGTTGGAGAAAAATGATTTTACGATAAATTTGTAAGCTCGCACGAAATCCTTCACTGAAATTTCGTTCGAAGAAATAAACGAAAGATGGTCGCTTCTGAAGAAGCTTAGCGTAATCGGTCTCATCGAGACTCTTTAGACCCGTACTAAACTTCTAACACATCAGATATACGAAGGTCCAGTTATCCAAAGTTTAGATCTTTCGTTTCGCAAGTTCGGCTACTTAGTACAGGCTCCTTAGCCTTTTGATTTACTACCGGAGGATTGAGGAGTGACAGCCGGCTACACGCTCTTACGTTCTTTCCCCCTTCCCCTGGAAACTTTTGGCGACCTGAGCCTGACCGATATACAGGCCCCGACAGGAAACGCTATTCCGTAAATTGAGGTAAATTAGCCGTGGAGACGGTCTAACAGGCTCTCTTCGCGTGTTTCTTCGTCTCTTCTGCCTACGCAGTTGCGCTCGATCTTTGCGTCTCTCTTCTTCTCACCCTTCACGCTAGCTCTTTCGGTTCCTTCCATCAAAGTCAAACTATGCGTGACGCATCCTCCACCTCCTTCTTTTTCTTCCCCTGCCTCTTCTTCCTTGCGAGACAAGCTGGCGACTCGTTGCTTTCGTAATAAAACCTCTTCATCACGGTACATTGTTAGGAATATTAACGCGGAATGCTGATGATACGTGTTTTTGAAGAAGAATCGCATATTTAAAATTGAAATTATAGGATTAAAATGACAAGTCGTTTATAAGTAAATAATTAAAGCAAAGCTCTGAAAATATTTTAAAAGTTTCTGGAATCTTGTTATGATTTATGATTTCTAAATCCTTCTACTTTGTTATACGATTTTTGATTTTACAGATATTTGGTTTAACAATTATTTATATATCGAAATTCTAAACAAATATCGTCGATAAAATTTTATTGAGATGTTAATCCAAATAAATAATATTTTCATTAGTCAATCATCTAACGTTTTCATTAATGAAAACTTTATAGATATATTTTGCTCAAGGAAATAAATTATTTAGATATTTATAATCAAAATCTGGATTCGTTAAATTAGCAAATTAATTTTACTCGATTTTATCAGTCGATTTATTGGTTTTATTGAATAAAGGATCATTGAGACTCGATTCCGAAGAACACGAGAATCTCATAGCTTGTTCAATTACGATAATGGATTTGCATATGGTAAGAGGTAAATGTTGCGAAGATCATTTGCTCACTGAACAATGATCGACGTGTTTTCTTGCTAAGAGCCGGAGGCTCTTATTGATGCGCGGCACGCGCTGTTTCACGATTAATTAGAAATTACAATACGAAGAATCACGACAAAGCATTTGTGACGGGCGACACGTCGTGCGTGACGATCGGAGTTACTGAGTGTACATATATTATTTCTATCGTGTTTACGTGCGCCTATCAATTTTTAATAAACTAGAATATCTATCATTGCACGGTAATTAGCGTATGTGACAATTTTATGTGATACAATTCCCAGATAGCACATTATATTCTGAAAATATTCTGAAAATATACTAAAAAGGTCACATCTGATATTCGTATGATATTCCTATGTCTGCAGCAACATTGTTCGCAGCAACATGTAAGAAATATCTATTAAAAATAATATTTTTTGCTAACAGAATATTATTTTTAATAGATATTTCTTACACACTCTTAAGAAAAATTTTCAAAATTCATCTCGATATTCTGAGGATATACTGCGAACAATGTTGCTGCGGACATAGGAATATCATACGAATATCAGATGTGACCTTTTTAGTACATTCTCAGAATATAATGTGCTATCTGGGTTGAGATTAAAATCTGCTCCGTTCAAACAAATTGTAAGATCGAAACTTTAAAATATGTTCTAGGATTTCATATGAAAACGCATTTTTTATTTTAAGAATTTTCATGTGTATATGAATAATATTTGAGGATACGTAGTCTTACAGAATTGGTTATTTTTGTTCTCGTGTGATGTAACTCTTTTGCACTCAGAAATGATAAAAAAATCACGATTTTTTAAGTTTTTATTTCACGGCATTTTGCGTTAATTTAGGCAGACTATTAATTAAAAAATTTAACACTAATTAAAAAAGTGACACTAATAAGTTTGTATATTTATTAGACTATTTGTTGCAAAAACTAGAATCGTAGAAATACAGCTCTTTCGTTTCAATTTCAGAATTCGAGAATTACAGTACATCGATGCCATAAATATTACGGACAACAAAGAGGGCTGGCTGACATTGAACATCAGCGAGGCTTTTGAACATTGGGTGAAGGACTCAAACGAAAATCGAGGACTGTATCTCTCTGTGCATCCTGCTGATCGTTCAGGTAAGCGTTTTATTTCTTCTAGTTTTCTTCCATTATTTTTGCCTTTACAAAGATTTTTCATTCAATACTTGAAGTAACTGAATGGAGATCAAGTTAAGGAGACCGTTAAGAGAATCCTTATCTGAAATAGAGTCGTTTATCGAGTCAATACCACTTACATACACACACACACACACATGATTTACGTGACACTGACACGTCACTATGTACTGAGAATGCTTTCCATTTATGCCCTTTTTCACTAATTCGTAGATTAACTTTAATCTCGGTTCAACTAATTCTTCATCTTTTTCTAATTTCAAAGCAAGAACTCTGAACACTTATGGATTAAATCACAAGTCTACTATTATAAACGTGTTTCTATCTAAACTTCTCAGCCAGCTTCTTAGAAATAGTACGCTGAATATAGAACGACTTCCGGTTTGATAATAAACATGTTCGATGTTTATTGAAATCGGATCGCAAGCAAAGTATAAGAGAGAATTCAAACTTTAAATTTTGATTATTCGGAAATGCGTCTTTTATATCTTTTATATCTTCTCAGGCGACAAAAGAAGCAATAGGTAATCGAAAAAGAACAGCCATCATCAATTGTATACAAGTTTATCAGAAGCCAAATTGATCAACTCTATTTTTATATAAATTTCTTAATTTTAATATCAGAACATATGATTTGTTTATAATTTAGTCTATTTTCTATTTTTTATTTAAGTCGATTTGGCTTTCAAGAATCTTATATAATATTTTTAATATGTAGATAAGTATTTTATTTGAATTAAATGAAGAGTGTATTCTTGGTTCTCATATACCTGATGGTCACGTATAATTTGTGTTTCCTCAATGTATATTACACCTGTTCTCACCACAATATACCGTTGTAAATGCTGCGTGTGCGTGACACGAAAGATTTGTAGCAAGTTAACAACTCTTGAATCTCGATTTTCTTCCTAGTTTTTCTGCGTTTATGATTCAAGAAAAGAGACAACACTTACTTAACTACTCTTGCGGTTTATCGTAATTTAAATTGACGGAAAATTGTATTTTTTATGGAATCGAAGATATCAAGATATTAAGGATCTCTTTCCTTGATATCATGAAATGAAGTATTTTATCAATTTAAATAATGAATTAAAGGCTTTAATTATATATTGAAGTAAATGTTACAAATTTACATATAAATGAAGAGTGTCGAAATGTAATTTCAAAATAACAGACGACGTAAAGTTTTTTTGGAAATTTTGTTCTCATGTAGCTTTGTCGCGCTTAATCATCCAACTTTGCTGTCCTTCTTTATTCCTTTTTTACAATTTAATATAATTATGCTAGAAGAAAGTGCAATTAGTATTCTATCACTTTTAAGAAGTTAAATGTTTTTTCGTTTTTTAATCTCTTGTTCGTTATTTACTCGCATACTTTATTACCATTCGGGACACTTAATCTATGATGAAGGCGTCACCTTGTCTTCCCATGCTGATAAGACATACTTACGAACGCGAGAGGTGCTCACGTTAATTTAGAAAGGACAGCAGTCTTGAACAGGACAAAAAAAAGAGAGAGAAAAAGGAAAGAGGAGAAAGGAAAAAGAGAAAAAGAGAAAGAGCGAGAGGAACAAAACAGAAACGGAAAATTGATTTTGTCACTAAAGGACCTCGTACACTTCTAATGAAAGAACTGGTTTCTGTGGCAAATTAGCTAAATTTTTGATATGCGATTGCTTTATGATATTCATTAAAAATTTCAATGGACATAATCTTAAAAAAGCTCAATTTATATGAACCATTCGAGACTCTGAATTGTCTACTGTTAATTAATTAGGTGCTCGTAGCACGATTAATTTATTAATTAGCGAATTTATATTTGCCAAAGCTTCATGACACGATTGACGTCTGTTCGAGATTGCTACAGTTTTGGGAATCTGATAGTGACTCATCATGGACAGATCGTCTAACCAACATTGATCGTTGAATATGTATAACTTGCTGAGAATGACTCCAAAGAGAGTGGTAACGTTCAAGATTTCGTAATAAAGCTGCATATCATTTATTATTATGAAGTATATTACAGTTAAGCACTTTTGAAAAATTGTAGAGTTTAAAAAATCTATTAACTGATCTTATCAGTTTGACTTGGCGTGGCAGTTCCTAAGTTAAGGCAAGATCATTTTGAATTTTTAAAATGGAAACTCCCATATTTTTATTGCATATTCTTGTAGTTTATTTCAAGAGCTTTCCAAAATATTATAATAAATTATTTTTTCATTAAGCATTCTTTGATTTATAAGACTTAAACATTTTTTTTGACATCCTTATAGATGCACGCTTATACACACGACAGATAAAATTTGGGACTGTAAAGTGGGACAAAGAGTTAAAATTTGAGACTGTTTCTCCCAATTTGGGACGGTTGGTCATTAAGATACACACACACGCATATATAAAACATAATCTGTCATATTATTATATTCTGTATAAAAATTGTAATAAGCGGTGACGGATAATACTGGACATTAATGTGGATATAAACATCAAATCAAGTGTACAAACAGCATGCGTGTATTTAATGTATGTACATCTGTACGTGTGTATGTAGTGTGTGGTGTATGTATATTTGTGTGGTGTGTGTTTGTTTGTGTGTTTGTTTGTGCGTGTGTGTGTGTATGATTTGTTGTTTGCCGCGCCTAGATTATTTCATTATTTGCTCTCTCTTTCTTATCTGCATTCTATCCTCTTTCCTCTTGTCTCGCTCTTCAGAACGCGCAACCGGTTTACCTTTGATCGTTCAATATAAAACACAAGATCGGAGAGTCACATGCCTCTCACGAATCTTTACGTTTGATTCCTGACTGCCTTTCTCTCTCTCTCTCTCTCTCTCTCTCTGTTTTTTAAATTTTCTCTCGCCGTATTTAAAAATACCTATGAGATATTCTTCAAAGATATATCATCTGTATCTAAATATAAACTGATCCTAAATATAAACTAAGGATTATCACACATTTTTCAACTATTGGATTCGTATTCTCAAGCTTACGAATAAATGATCAAGTCACTAAGACAGGAATTCTTTATTGAAGTACACAAATGATATGAAATACCTATTTATATAAAAATATAAGTACAGAGAGAGATGCACTTCAATAGATGATGAGACATCAGCAATATCGACTATTACGGCAAAATTATGAATTCGAAGATTTATTATAGGTCAAATTTGTGACAATCCATTGGTAGTAATAATTGAAAGTGGTGTTTTCTTACCAATTTTTAAATATTATTGTAAATAAAACTTGAGTTTCGTTTCTAATTCGATTCACTTTGTATACAAAGAACGTGCAGAGCTAAATGAAAAATTTTATTAATCCGGTGTAACCCTATCAATGTCTACGATTGCGACAATTAATGAAATCCAATTTTTCTCTCATTTTTCTTATTTTCCTCTTATCATGCTCGAGACTGCTAAATTCAGATGAAGAACGAAAGAAAATCATCCGAGAGTGATTCTGACGACCGACGTTCAGCGAGTGTAATTAATTTTGATTTACAGCTGCGAATATAGATAGGCGGGGCAATCGCGTATCCGCTTTTGAAAACCGCAATTATATTTATTTCATTACACGACTGCGTTTGTACGAAGATAGGTGTAGATTTAATCCTTTATAACCCAATTTTTTCGTATTTGAAAAAATGACATAACATGTTACTATAGAAAATATTGACTCTGAGATCTGAATCAACAATTAATTTTTGATTTTTAAATATTTATTATAAAAAATGTATATTATATCTTTGAAGTCACAAGTCGTAATGATGTACAACATTTATATGTAATATAATTTACATGTAACATGATTTTGCTTATAGTTAGTATGAAAGTCCGCGAACAGTTTATATTTGAAGTTTGAAATGTATATTGTATTTTAAACTGAAATGTTTATTGCATTTTATTTAAAAAATAGCTTTGTATCTTGGTGATTTACAATATCTCCTCTCATCGGAAATTGATTGAAAACTTCTTCGTTTTATAAAAAAACAATTGTAATCAAACTTCTGGGCTATGATATTACAACAAAAAATAGTATAACAGTAAAATATACGGAATATTTCGAAATTTCTTTAAATTAAATTAAACTCTAAATCTTTTACTTATTTTCGACAATATTACATAATAATTTTTCAATAAATAAATTTCATTTAACTGAACACGTATTTCAGTGTGAAGCTATTTTTTTTAGATCATTTAAAAAAATTAATCTAATCGAACGCTAAATGTTTGCAATCCCAACAAACAAGTTGACGTTATTTGCTGGACTACGAGTGTTACGACACGATTCCCAGAATTTTGAAAACATTTCCATACTATTATTATTTCATTCTATTATTCCGTACTATTATTTAAGCATTAAAGATCCAGCTTCGACCGGTATAGGCATTTAAATTTCTAGTTCGTATTGGCTGTCTAAAATAAGGTTCTTATTGTTATTTCCATACTACGCTCAATTATGATGAAAAATAAAATAAAAATATAAATATATACGAATATGACGTTATAGAGGGTTAATAATAGATTAGTAATAGATTATCGCACCGGTAACAACCGCGCTTGAAGGAACGCGTTGTCGATGCTAGAACGAATGGGAAGGATGACAAAATGACTTGACACAGAACTTGAATACGTCGCCTCGAAGAGGCACGCACAGCGTGCGAGCACCATTCGCCGCGAGCCGGCGCATTCCTCGAGAGCGGCGCAAAGTGCAACAACTGCGGCGGTAGGGGTCCGCCAGTGTCCGCTGCAATCACGGCAAATGCGCATTCCTGCCGGTCAATTTACTAGCTTTCTCGGACTCGCGCGCACACTCGAAACACACGGTACCCTCGCTGCTCGGGATCATTTACATACGATCGCTCGCCGCGACGAGGTCTCTCCTAGACGTCGACCCGCATTCCCGATCTGACCGCGATGGCGCGATCCCGATCGATGAGATTTATCACGGGGCTTATCTCCTCTTTCAAGACTGTATTCGTCGAGAGGAAATAAGCTTGCGAACGGGATATGGAACCGGGCGCGATAACTTTCTATCATCATGCACGATCGGGTTATCGGCGAAATGAATTAGAGGAAAGTCGCCGATACTGACATAGGTCTCCTAAAGTGACACCCTCTTATTTCTCAGAAACTAACTATTGCACTTTATTAATACTAATAAAATCATGGTCTCTGTTTAGCTAATTAAAGAAGTACAAACTCATAATTCATATATCTGTGGCTTATTTCTATACCAAATCAGCTAAAAACCAATTCTATGAATCCGAGAAGAAAATTCTTACGATGTTCTTTTGCAAATTGCGTAATTAAAATAATAGTGACTGTATTATCGATAATATTATGTCATTTTAAATGTTTATAGTTTCATAAATTAGTTTTCTTTCCAGAATAGGATATATCTTTATTTATAAAATAGGAATGTTGGTATTATTGTCTACTATGTCAGTTTTGGAGCCCATTTTGTCAGACGTTTATTTTTGCATAACTTACGAAAAACTTAATTATTGCAAAATTGCAAATAGTATTATAAAAATTGCTTATACTGTCTGATAGAAGATACTTTCTACTTTGTATTTATGTTTTTGAAGTTGTATTTTTATCTTTTGTTTAAGAAACATTGTCTAAAGACAAAGTGGCATGTCGGTATCGGTGACCTTCTTCTATGATGAAAAAGGGTTTCCAGATTTCAATTGTGAAATTGAATAGATGCGTAAACATCGTTTGATCCTCTTGAACTTAATTTCGTGAGCACATCCGAACTCTACGCAGACCTGGGTAGGAATCATGTAACTTTTTCGCTAGAGCGGAAACGTGAAAAGTGAAAATTTTTAAGTATGTATGTTCGTATACATATACACACACACACATATAAGAATTTTCACTTTTCACATTTCCACCCTAGGGACAAAGTTACATGATCGCTACCCTGGAATTTTTCAGAGTAATTAAAACGAGACGTCTAAAACGCGTTGGAAGTGAATGTCTACGAAGCTTGGCTCGACTTTACGCCGAGATTCTTGAGCGTTCAATATTCATGAAGGTTGACTATTAATAATCCTGAGACCCGCGTGCGCGCAGGCCATTCTAATAAACACGTATACCTGATACTTACGGAATAAAGATTCGAAATATATGAGCAAGAGTCTCCTGTTTTCGCAAAACACGATTTTCGCAGAACGCCTCTAGTGCGTCAAGAGCACATCGATATTTGTAGCGACTATCAACATATATTCTTCTCTTTCTATTCTCTATTGTTTCTCTTCTTCTATTTGATACATGTTCGTTTCGTATATCGTTATTTTATTCTTCTATATTATTTAATCACATCTCTATACTATAATATATACTTTCAAGAAAAATATTCCTAAAGAAAACTAAGTTACTAGCTATTGCTATTAGCTGAGAGCTAGTTAGTGATTTCATTTATTTATTTCTTCAATTGATGTATTACAGCGCACGAAGTGAGACCAGAGGATATCGGAATTATGGGATTCCGGGGTGATCCAGACAAGCAACCCTTCATAGTGGGCTATTTTAAGAGTTCAGGCGTAAGGGAGTCCAAGGTTCGACAGAAGCGCGATGCCAAGAGGAAGAAGAAGAGTGAGGCCACCGGTTGGGATTACCGGAATAATCCTTACACTGGTAAATTCGTATATGGAATATTGCAATCCTAATTTAATTTATAATATAATAAATATGATAATAATAGTAATAATAATATAATTTACACATATTTATATTTATATATAATTTACGTATAAAAAAACAAAAAATATGTACACAATATATGTATGTATATGTATATAGTATATATGTATATTCAGGGTGAGGAAAAGATACCGGGACTCCGAAATATCTCGAAAAAATACAAGTTTTATAGAAAACTGTTTCAGATAAAAGTTGCAAGACTTAAAACGATCGATTTAATGATTCTGTTAGTTCGACGTGTCATCGCCAAAGTTAGGACAAAGTTACCTTGAATTTTTTTGATGATACTCCCTATTTTTTTTATTGCACATTTTTATAGCCCTTCTTCAAACCTTTTGAGAGCACTATAATTTTATCTTTATTTTAAATAAACAGTTTTGAAGTTATCGAGTTTTTTTATGGTAAAATCACGAAAACAAGATCGGAAGATAATCCAGCTTACAAGAGCAAGGTCGAAAGATGATTTCAAGAAACAATTTGACGTTCTTGACCGTCTGAAATATGTTTAGAAAAGTCTCGTTTATGTTTGATGTCTAAAATATAACTTTATTATAGTGCTTTGGAAAGATCTGAAGAAGGGCTATAAGAAAGAATATGCAATAAGAAATAGAAGATTTCATTAAAAAAATTCAAATTAATCTTTTCCTGATCTTGACAACGCCACTTAAGCTCGAACTGACAGGATCAATAAATATGATCTTTTTAAACCTTACTTTTACCTGAAACAGTCTTCTTTAAAATTTATCAATAAAAACTAAAAGTAATAGTCATAACGATCAAAGCTAAATCTTTAATACTTAAATAATTCATTTAAAAATTTTGATAAAAGATATGTTTTCGCAGATCCTGGAGCACAGTATTCACGAACCTGCAAAATACAAACGTTATATGTCAGCTTCCGCGATTTGCAGTGGCAGGTGAGCTATTAATTATCGTGTCTTTTAAAACTCTGGTTCCTCACGGCACACCTCGACGTGGTGATGATTGTGTCGGATTACGGTGTCACAGACAAGGAATCGTGTTTTCTACGACGTGTGCGGTGAGGAACCAGACGCCATAGATTTATACGTGCGTTATTTCTCACAATTTGTTTTGTTGCATAGGATTGGATTATTGCGCCGGATGGGTACGATGCATATTATTGTAGCGGGGAATGCAACTTCCCATTGAACGCTCATATGAACGCAACTAACCACGCAATAGTTCAAACTCTAGTGCATTTGGTGAGTCCGGGCAAGGTACCCAAGCCATGCTGCGCGCCCACCAAACTTTCAGCCATTTCCGTCTTGTATTTCTTGGACGAGAGCAATGTCATCTTGAAGAAATATAAGAACATGGTTGTTAAGAGTTGCGGCTGCCATTAGATTTTTCTTTCCCAGCCAACTGATAGAATTGAAAAACAACGCTCATTGATGCAGAGACCAGCTGAACCAGATGATAATTTCATAATTAAATGAACAATATTTCCTCATTGCTTTCGGAATTTTATTATTTAGATGCGATCTTTGAGCCTATTGAAAGTATAAAGATATGTGAGACTGCTCTAATAAGAATTAAAATATGAGATTGTTCCAAAAAAATTAATGAATATTGACGAATATTATAAACAATATTATTTTTGTGTGTTGGGCATAATTTTATCATTTTTATACAAATTAACGTGCCTGATTGTTGTTTAATAATTGTATGTATATAGGATGTTCCATTAAGACCGTAATAACACTTAAGAGTAGATTATTGAAATTTTGAGACAAAAGTTCTAATACCACAATTTTCTAGGCTGTAATAATTTTTATGTTATCGATATTTAAGTTGCAAATATTTGTGTTGTAAGTATTTAAAGTTAGCGAACCAAGTTACTTAAAATTTGTGCGTTCAAATGTGACACAATTCACAGTGCTAAAGACGAAAGTCGACTGTTCATTTCATCAAGATATTGTTATATGTGGGTACGTGCAAAAATAATGTATTTCAAGACCGATAAATAATTCGTGCACAGTAATCTTGAACTGAAAATTATAAAATTTATGTAAAAATATTATTAGACATCAAAATATGCTTCAACAAAATATGACTTTTTTCGTTCATTGTGTCGACATATGGTGTCCAGCTGCTGTCCTTGAATATCTTTGTATTCTGGAATTTACTGAAATTTTATGTGTTCTGAAAAATTCCTGGAAAATCCCTGAAATTTCAAGGCTGACCTGGAATTTATTGTTCTTCCATTCTAAAAACGTTAGAGCGTGAAAAAGAGAAATAATAAAAAGAAAAGTTGTGTTTGGGCATAAATCCTTCTTTAAAAGAGCAATAAGTTATTAACAGAAAACATTTAATGTCTAAAATAGCATAGTAAAAAAATCGTTTGTGTTGACGGAACGTTTGTTTGATTATTTTTAAGGCAATAAATAGTATTGTTTCCAATTTATTTGCGTTTTAATTCATTTGTATAGTCAACATTGGATCATTCGTATAGAATTCTAATTTGAATACAAAGCGTATAATATTGCACGAATCGATGAAAATTAATTAAATAATGGAAATAAATTGATGAATAAATCCTGGGAAAAACAGGATTTTTACATAAAATATCCAGGAATTATCCCTGAATTGACTAATCAGATTTTGCTGGACACCATGGTTGAATATTTCTCGAATTTCACTTATTATTGTTATTTATACGTCAGCTGAAAAAATGTTTTTAGAAAGTATACTATTTTTATTTTTTTTGTGATAGATATTATTACATGCTTCAATAATCGAATTGATGAAATACCCGTCATGGAATGAAGGAGTTTCCAGGTTCGAATCATGGTTGGAATGACATTTTTCATTATAAATTTTTTATAGTATTTTATGAATACTCACTAGCATTAATATTATTAAGTTGCCTGTCAATTTCCGGTAAAAAAATTTGTATTCATAATTATATAGAACTATGTAAAATTATATAAAATTATATAAAATTACATAAAAATATATATAATTAAGTAAAATTCATTATATATAGTTATATACAATTTTATATAACATCATCGAACTTTTATATATAATTATGTATAAATTCCTTATATTATGTGTATTTATATACATAATGATTCATATATTTTTATATATATTTATACATGATTTATTATAGTTCGTATATAATTTTACATAATTATATATAATTAGAAGTAAGTACACGTCTGTACCACGAGATGGATGTGCTGCTCATAACAAGAAAATGATAAGGGGTCTTATGAGCATACGTAAATCAAAATAGCGATTCTCCTGGAGGTTCTCAAATTCTTTAAGAATGTGCCTCTGAAAATTTTTTAATCATTATTTTTTTAGTGTATTTCAAAATGTGATGCTTATCAATAATACTTTAGCAATAAATCTTTTCTGTAGATTATTTATAGTTTTTACAATAACACATGTAGTTATGTATAATTATTGTATATATAATTATGTATCATTTATATGTGGACATTTTTCATATGTGGTTTTGTATAATTATATACAACCATTTATACGTATATAATTATGTAAAAAAATTGTGGTAAATATTAAGGAAAGAGAAGCCATTTCCAATGACATTGACCTTAACGTATGTTGTCAAGGTCATCATCCTGAGTGACCTCCAAGAAGTTTTAGTTGGTAGTTGATACTCGTTAAAAAGTAATTAACAAAAAGATTTAAAAAATGGGTTTTATTTGTTTCATATTTGAGCGTGCGAATCTTTGGCGACCTGTTTCGTTAATGTTAAATACTTATAACTCAAATACTATTATAGCCTCAATATTAGAATTCTCTTAAAATAATCTTAGAAATTTTCCCTTAAGCGTTATTACGTTTTTATTAACCATCTTGTATGCGTGATTCTATTTCAATAATATAAAGAATTAGTCATAAGGATTTTAGTATCTAGAATGATCGACTCAGTCAGATAAATTTTAAAGTAACTAAGACATGCGAGATAATTCAGATAATAAAATCTTTTGATTTAACAATTTTTTAAAGATATGTTTGAGACCAGTTTTACATCGAATCGATGATAAGCGTTACTTTATAGTTTTTTCTCATCGCAGGTACAATCGAATGTCCGCATTATGAAATCATTAAAAAAATAAATTATTAAATGGTATTCTTGAAACTTTCTATCAATTTTATTTTAGTAACACAAAAAGTATCGTAGCACGCTTTTTCTCTCGCTCCTTTTCTAACGTGGTTATCACATGATAAACGTGAGTACTAAGAGAGCAGTGCAAGAGAAGAACGTCACTTTTCGAACAATCAGCTAATTCATTATACGATAAGATATTTTACTATATGGATATTCAATAGTATGAGTTTAGATGTGAAACTTTACAAATACAGAAATAACACAAAGGAAAGGAGAGCTGTAAAAAGATTTCATGGGTACATCGATTTAATTCTTGACAGAGAATCAGTACTCTCTTGATGGTACCAACGATTACCAAATAATTTTTGTATTTATAGCATAAGTTGTGAGCGCGTAGATGTACTCAAACGTAAGTGGCGTAAGTTATTAATGACGAAGCTCATTAGCGCGTATTACACGTAAACATGTATAAAAGCGAACTATAATATATACTCATGTTAATTCGTAAGTTTTGTATATCGTCATTGTAAATACACTCTTGTATATACTTTCTATGTTTCTGTACTTCATATTTTATGCATAAATACAAATAAATTTTAGAAATATAGGGATTAAAATTTCTCATTCTGTATTGGCAGTGATTATCGGATGGCAATTTAAAAATAGAAAATACAAAATAGGTCTTTCTTTATTTGAAAATGTAGGTATACTGTTCGTTATTTTTTCGAAATATTATGGCCGACGAAGAATACGAGAGTTCCATCCAGAATCAAACTTACACATCGGTTATTTGTCATCTCCAAGAAAAGCAAAGATACAAATTATGAATGGAGATTGCTTTTTATAAATTTATTTCCTATATCAGTCAGTATTATACATATATATGATATTTATACTAATTGCTCTGCTTTTGTTGCCTATATTATTAAATTGAATATTATTATCGAATATGTTATAAATCAGTAAATAAACAAATAAATAAAATACATAAGACATATTTCCGTTTTTATCTCGCGTGTAGTAAATTCCATCATAGCTTCTTCGAACAGGCATTTCATCACGTTTTTATACTTAAAGTCCTGACACTCACGTAAGTCCCATTATTAATGCCGTGTTAGAAAAAATTCTACAATGGCAATACTAATTAGTCATCATGCGATGCTCTAAATTCGTATTAAGGCTCCTGTTTTCTTCACAGTAGCCATATGAAATTATGACGTCAAAAATGTGACTCCTTTTCTTGCAACATAAATTAAAATAATTTTATCATATACATCATTCTCTGTATAAATAAAATATACTAATCACAATAATAGTAACTTTATTGAATGGAGCGGTCAATATTCAATAGTGGAAGCGAACATAACAAAAGTAACATTGAAAATACCAGTTGCATCACCCGGAATAGGTCAAGTGGCAATCTATAGGCATTTTTTCCGTACAATCATAATATCCGTTTATATTTTAAGATGTGATGTAATGGGTACATTTTGAGAGGAAAATACAAGCCTATATAGTTGTAACATGGGATATGTAGTGATAATCAAATAATTAAAGTCTCGTCGTCATAAAGTTTGACAATTTATTTAATAACGCAGTACGCAGCGCGTCTAACTTGATTCTTGAATCGTGTCTACATGTCGCGACCTCGCGTTCTCAAGATCCGTTCCTCTGCTTTATCTTTGTTCGAGATCGTTCTTATATAAACACATTTTCTTTCGAAAGTTAATGCGATTGTTAGTCTAATACATATCTAAATATTATTGTTAAATTGAAAAAACAAAAATAGGCCGAGGTTACTATCTATAGCTACAGAAATGTAGAAAAAATATAACAGGATAGGAAAGATATTTGCGTCGACTTAAGAAATAAGAAAGAGCGAAAGAAATAAGTTACGCGTTTAGAAAATTGGCTATTGTATTCCGCATTGATCCTACCGCGTATGTACGATATGTATGCGTATGTATTATGTACCAAATAGGTGACTCGAACCTTATGTCTCACGTTATGATTATTTATAGCTTTCTCGAATATTAATCTTCTTATTACACCGAATTACTGCTTTCTATATATGTGAGATTGTAGCGATGTAATCGCCACAATGGTATTCAAACGACCAGGATGCGTATCAATATATAAGTCAAGAATTGTGACTGAGGATTTAAGAGATAAAAGAACATTTTGAATATAGATATTGAAAGCAGGAAAGTGGGAAAGTATACTTTCCCACTTTTCTTATGTTCTTTTATTTCCTATAGAATAGGACAGCTCGTAATTAGAAGTGAAAATTTTGAGAGATTTAAATGCAATCCATTTGTTATTG